ACAGCTGATATACGACACAGATCTGAAGATGCAGCAGCCGAAACATGTCAACAAGGTAAATCCACTTTACTGCACTGTCTTTAAAAAGAACCCAAGAAGTTAAAGTACAGAAGAAGACAGAATGAACATCTTTGCAAATAAACTTTTGTCCCGTTGACATATTGAATTACTCAAACTGTGAGATGCATATGGGTCCGGTCAAGTGGTAATGGAGGGAAACAGGGGCAGATTTTTTACATTCAAATAGCTCTTATTCAGAAACTAGAGGGACTATTGAAATAAGTAAAGTATCAGAATGTAGGAAAGAGTTACACTCCAACAGAGTAAAGTTAAACCTGTGATATTCTTTCAAGTTGTTGAAAAAATTTTTATAAACTCATGTCAGTAACAGAGGGAATGAAATATGCAGCACTTTTTGGTCAATAAATCCAAACAGTGATAACTCTTGGTTCTCACTTCCATATCCTTAACAAACTGGTTTGAATATTTGCTTCATATAGTTTTCTACCATATGGTACAAGATTAGGTTGAAAAACCTCTTATTTTTGAGTCATGAGATTTTTTATTAAGAAAGGTCATGGTAACGGAGGGAAAAGTAACGGAGGGAAAATTGTGCAAACAAGTAGAAGGTGCAGGATTTTACATCATTTGTCAGTTTTTTTCTTCTGAATACTTTAATATTACTTCAAAATGAAAGGAAACTATTTCTATAAAATATGTCAGTCCTTCCAAGCAAATTTTTATCATTTTAAATAGTTAAAAAAAATAAAAAATCATGAACCTTCATCAACAGTTCAAAGATGGAATAACACAAGATATGATGAAATACATCCATTTATTTACATGATTTGCAGGTCTTTGAAATTTGGGAAATAATTTTTGTTCCATGTTTCATACATGGTCTGTTTAAAACATATGGAACTTTAGAACCAAAAATGGTACAGAAAAAAGGTCAACAGTTTCATAAACTAGAGTACATATGTATCTGTTCAATACATTTTTATATCAGATGCATTAACTTGAATTTTTGGCCTTGCTGTTTACTTCTGCTTGACTGGGCCCATATCGTGAAAATATCGTATCGAGGGATTTTGATATCGTTACATGTTTACTTGTGACAAACAGCTCAGTCGTCCTCACATTGGTCCATCTGAGCGTCCAGTGTGAATGAGGCGTCTGCAGCTCTGGGCCCTGCAGCTTGTTTTGACGCCTTCAATAGTGGGAGCGAAACATAAAGGAAACAGAGGCCCCCAGGAGCCAATGAGGGACGGACGCACGGGCCCCGAGCTGAGAGAGAACGAGCCGCTATTCACACCACACACTGAAGGAATGAATGAGACCAACGGAAGAGTGTGGGACAGACTGAGAGAGGGGGAGGGGGCCGTAAGAGACAGAGAGATGAAGAGAGAGAGAGAGAGAGAGAGAAAGATGGATGGGGTGGGAAGAAGGGGGAGAGAGAGACAAAGAGAGAGGGAGACGGGGAGATGGAGAGAGAGAGAGAAGGAGGGAGAGAGGAGGGAGATGGAGAGAGACAAAGTAAGGGGAGGAAGGAGGAGAAGGCGAGAGAGAGAAGGATGAAAAGAGACAGGTAGATGCAAGAGACAAAGAGAAGAGAGATGAATATGGGGAGAAGGAGAGAGAGAAAAAGAGGGAGAGAGGGGAGAGAGACAATGAGAGAAGGGAGGAGAAGAGAGGGAGATGGAGAGAAATAGGAGGGTGCGAGAGAGGGGATGGAGAGAGACAAAGAGAAAAGAGAGAGGAAGGGGGGGATAGACAGAGAGAGAAGGAGGAAGAGAAACAGGGAGATGCCGAGAGACAAGTAGAGAAAAAAGAGTAAGAGGGGAAGATGGAGAGAGAGAAGCAGGGAGAGAGAGACAGGGGGATGGAGAGAGACAAAGAGAGAAGAGAGGGAGAGCGAGGGAGAGAGAGAAGAAGAGGGGGAGATGAAGAGAGACAAAGGAGAGGAAGGAGAGAGAGAAGGAAGGAGAGAGAAAGAGAGATGGCGAGAACAAAGAGAAGAGAGAGGAAGAGGGAGAGATAGAGAGCAAAAGAAGGAGGGAGAGGGAGACGGGAGGTAGAGAGAGACAATGAGAGAAGAGAGATGAAGAGAGAGAGAGAAGGAGGACGAAAGAGAGGGGAGACGGCGAGAGACAAAGAGAAGAGGGAGGAAGAGGGGCAGAAGGAGAGAGAAGGAGGGAGAGAGAAAGGGAGAAGGAGAGAGAGAAAAGGAGGAAGAGAGAAGAAGAGGGGAGAAGGAGAAAGAGAAAAGGAAGGAGAGAGAGAAGAAGAGGGGGAGATGGAGAGAGACAAAGGAGAGGAAGGAGGAGAGAGAGAGAGGGAGGGAGGGAGAGAGAGAGACAGACAGGTATATGGCAAGAGACAAAGAGAGAAGAGAGAGGAAAAGGGGGATAGACAGAGAGGGAAGGAGGGAGAGAAACAAGGAGATGCCAGAGAGACAAGGAGAGAGGAAGAAGGAGAGATAGAGAGAAAAGGAGAGAGAGAGAGACGGGAGATGGCGAGAGAGAAAGAGAAGAGAGAGGAACAGGGGGAGATAGACAGAGAGAGAAGGAGGGAGAGAAACAAGGAGATAGAACGAGAGAAAGAGGAGAGTGGAAGAGGGGAAGATGGAGAGAGAGAGAGAAGGAGGGAGAGAGGGGGGATAAAGAAAGAAGAGAAGAGAAGAGAAGAGAGAAAGACTGAGGAACAGCTGAGTTTGGGCAGAAACTTCAATACAGAACACCACAGGCCGGACCAGGAGTCAAACCCACAACCACCTTCTTCCACTCACAGGACCGGAGTTGGACTCGAGTGGGTAAATTGTCTTGCTCAAGGACACAACAACAGTCCGGACTCAGGTGAACACCGAACCAAATCTGTCTGACTTTTCCGAGGGTCCGTCAAACGCTTTTCTCCAGGGAGATGTTTTTGCTTTGTCCGGAATGTTTCACCGTATGGCATTAAACCTTTCTATCTTAAAGCGAACCGGACCAAGTTACAGGTCAGATCTGCGGAGAGGCGACCCCGCTCAGTCAGAATGTTGTTTCTCTAGATGCTTTTGAGCTATAAAAGCACCTGTAACTGAATAAATGTAAAGTAGAGCTGTTTAATGTCACACTGTGGAACATTCAAGGCAAAACAATGACATTCATAGAAACAGGTGACGGACACTCCACCAGAAAAGTTACACAATGCACCTTTAAAACTTAAACGCCAAAGAAATGTAGACTAATTGCAGTGTTGGGGAGTAACAGATTACATGTACCAGCGTTACGTAATCAGAGTACAATTTATGAGTAACTGTACTCAGTTACAGTTACTGTTTCAGTGAGTGGTAATTGGATTACAGTTACTTTGTTGAAATAAATTGATTACGTGGTGGTGTTTTCCTGTTTTCACATTTTGGGCTAAAACAGGACTAAAACCAGAACTAAACCAGGACTAAACCAGGTCTAAACCAGGACTAAACCTAGACTAAACCAGGGCTAAAACCAGGACTAAACCAGGTCTAAACCAGGACTAAACCAGGACTAAACCAGGACTAAACCAGGACTAAACCAGGACTAAACCTAGACTAAACTTGGACTAAAACCAGGACCAAAGCAGGACTAAACCAGAACTAAAATTAGGACTAAACCAGGAATAAAACTAGGACAAAAAACAGGTCTAAACCAGGACTAAACCAGGACTAAAACCAGGACAAAAACAGGTCTAAACCAGGACTAAACCCAGACTAACCAGGACTAAACCAGGACTAAAACCAGGACTAAACTAGGTCTAAACCAGGACTAAACCAGGACTAAAACCAGGACTAAACTAGGTCTAAACCAGGACTAAACCAGGACTAAAACCAGGACTAAACTAGGTCTAAACCAGGACTAAACCAGGACTAAAACTAGACTAAACTAGGACTAAAACCAGGACCAAAGCAGGACTAAACCAGAACTAAAATTAAGACTAAAACCAGGACAAAAAACAGGTCTAAAACAGGACTAAACTAGGACTAAAACCAGGACCAAAGCAGGACTAAACCAGAACTAAACCAGGTCTAAACAATATGATACCAGTAGGTGGACATACTTTAAGGCAGCAGTGATCTCATATAAAAATCATTTCTCTATCAATAATATTTTGAATCTGGTTAAGTAAAGTCTGGGTTTTTTATTCTCTTTTATCAGACAAAACATCTTATGTTCAGATTTCCTCGTCTTTGCTTCTCCACATCGAACAAAAGTCTGTTCATGGAGACTTGGGCTCAACAGACAATTTGAAGAGAACAAACAAGAATTTTCAGGATGTGGTTGGTACATTCATGTAGTTTTAAAAAAGCATGACAATATCAAGTAATCCAAAGTATTCAGATTACGTTACTCACTTTAAGTAATTTAATGGATTACATTACAAACTACATTTTGGGACATGTAATCTGTAATCTGTAGGGGAATACATTTTAAAAGTCACCCTCCCAACACTGACTAATTCCTTGCACTACACTATTGGCCTATAACACGATGTACCGAATCGAAGAGACTCGTTCAAAGTTGAAGGATGGAGGGAGAGAGAGAGAGAGGGAGGGAGGAGAGGGGGGGGACTGTTTGGAGAGGCAGAGGCGGGGGGAGGGGTCCGTGCGTCTCGCTGCCTGCTCCTCAGCCCCAGATGAGGAGAAGCCCGCTCCGCTCTTAACGCACCGCGCTCCTCTCCCGTCCGCTCGCCCTGCCCGCACGACACCGACCGACGCCGCACCGAGGACTACCAACCGACACCACCACCGACCACCGCACCTCTCTCTCTCTCCCCTCACCCCCGCTGCACCCGACGCCGATGGACCCCTAAAACCCCACCGCCATGGACGAGACGCGCGTGCTGGCTCGAGTCTAGACATCGCCGAACCGAATCTTACCGCGCTCGTTCTTTCAGCTGGACGACCTCAGCGAATCGGCGTGTTTTTTTTGCACCACTTTTTTTCTGGATTTGTGTTCACCTCGCTGACTCGCACGGAGGATGGAGAGAGGCGGGAGACTAGCGCTACTCGCGTGCGTCCTGGCGATGCACTTGATGCCGCTGGCTGTGCACGGTAAGACACTCCAAACGAGCATCCAGAAATACAAATAACAACCAAATTTACGCGCAGATCCACCGTTTCCAAAAAGCATTACGCACGCATTACGCTCAAACCATGACATTTTTTTTTATTTTTGAATTTTCCATTTTAATGCCAACATCTGCTCGTACGATTTTGAACACACAACCAAGGACGACACGTTTCCCAACACACAAAAATGACACTCGTTACGCATTTTTAATATTCCTTTGACTTGTCATCAAAACGCACGGATTTGACTTGATTTGTCTAGTCGAAATTTGTTCCAACGCTGCTTTGGATTCGACCACGAGTAAATCGAATCATGCCTTGCCCAATAACGCCTCATATTTTCAGTTGGATTTAATATATCAATGTCATTTTTAATATTTTTTTGGTTGGAACTGTGCCAAGCGGCAACCTTGCCAACCGCTTTATCAATTTGGCAACGTTGTCCAAATTTGGCACGCGTCTTTTTTTGGATCGTTTACGCAATAAAACTAGGTACAATTTTGGGTTGATTCTTCTCTCTCGGTGCAGCTTTCTTCTCGCAACAGTGTCCCTTGGGTGCAGCAGCGGTACGGTACAGAAAGGAGGTCAGTGAGGCTGCGTTTGTGGGTTAGGGAGACAGCGTTAAAACACCTTGCGATTTTAATTCATCCAGCGATCGTTCGGTGTCAAAGGTGACTGACAGGTGTGTGGACGTGCGAGGTGCAGTTTGAGTACGTTGTCGAACTGGGCATTTTAGGGTTTTTGTTGTAATTATTGGAGTTTTTTGGGGGGAGTAACGTGCGTTTTGTTCATTTGCATATGAAGAGATGGAGATATGGATAGGCTTTAGTTAGAACTGCTGTTCGGTTTCACTTATTTAAAGATTGGAAATTCGTGATGGTTGCGTAAAAGTGGAAATGGGGAGCTTAAGAAATGATTTTGACTCTTGTTGATAAAAGTGGGTCACGATAAAACGGTTCCATGATGCAGGAAAAACACGCAAACGCAAACTGTTCTGGTTCTATATTACGCAAAATTGACTCTTGTGAGCTTTAATCCATGTTATAATGTTGTTATTAACTCAAAAACAGACCTGGAGTTGTGTTTTGTTTCTGTTCTGCCTACATCTTCAAAGCTCAAAACGCTCTGTTCCAACTTGTGATGTCATGTAGTGGTAGTTTTCAAGTTAACAGCTCCTCTTTACCTTTTGTTCAGCAGAGATCAGCAATTCCAGCGCTTAAATGATCCAGTTGATTCTAGAGATGGTGTGTGGAGTTTAAAAACACAGTGAAGCACTTTTGTATCACCACATGACATCACAAAGTGGAGCGATGGAGTGTTTCAATTTGAGAGAAGAATTTATCTTATCTTGTGTGTTAAACGTGTGTGCATGGCAAAAAGCAATGTCTAGGAAAGTTAAAATGACGTAAATTAAGAACATTTTACTTTATTTGAGCAGATTCAACTTCAGAAGTAAAAATTTTAAGTGCAAAGAGTTGTTGTTTTTCATATTTTAAGTGTAGCAAGATGGATTTTCATATTTTAAGTACAAAAAGTCTTGTTCCACTGGCAGATAATTTTACTTGTCAAGTGAAATTTACTCAAATCATGATCCAACTTTCGGAATTCAAGCCATGTTAACTTGGCTAGATTTGAGTTTTTGCAGTGTGAATGAAATAAAACACAACTGCAGGTATGTTTTTGGTGGTTTTGATGAGGAAACTCCACACTGTGTAAGTTACAGAGTGTGTCAAAAACATTCTGGAGGTGGCGCATCACCTTCATGATTCTGTGGAAATGGATTTAAAACCATATTTTGGAACATTCCCTACGGAGACAGGTACATTTTACGTCGTAACGTGGAAGATTGTAGCATTAGGAACAGCATCACTATGGAAACAAGATGGAGGAGACTACCAAATAAGAGTTAGGTTTGTGGAGATGCAAGTCCGCTCAGAGTAAGAACGCATATTTTTAAATGCAATGAACACAACCAAAATGAAAACTCTACTCTTTTATTTTATCTAGTTTTTGTCTTTAAAGGTGCATTGTGTAACTTTTCCAATGAAGAGTCCCTCAAATGCTTTTTTCCAACCTGTTTATCTTCATGGAAACTAAACCAGACCAAGTTACAGGTCAGATCTGTGCAGAGGCGACCCTGATAACAGTCAGAACACTTGTTTTTCAAGGTATTTTTGAGCTATAAAACCACCTGTAACTGAATAACTGTAAAGTAGATTAAGATGTTTAATGTCACACTGTGGAACATTCCAGGCAGAGCAATGACACATCCATACAAACAAGCAGGTGACGGACCCAACCAAAAAAGTTACACAGTGTACCTTTAAGTATCATATTGTACTATTTTCTGATTTATGTTATAATGTTGTTTCCTCATCACAAACATACAGAAGCCGAGAGGCGTCACAACAAACACAAACGCCGCAACAAATACAAATGCGACAACACAACAAAAAGCCACAACACACCAAAAAAAGCCACAACGGAAATGACCGCGGGACTCTATTTTAATGTAAACGCCACAACGCAAACGCTGCAACACATTAAAAAGCCACAACACATCAAAAAGCCACAACAGAAGTGACCACGGGACTCTATTTTCCGACGGACCGATCAAGCGGCAAGTGAAGAAGAAGAACTACAACGTGAAACGAATAATGATAAAACAATAAATTACTTTTACTTACGTTTCCAATTTCTCCGTTCCTTTACTTTTCATGTTGTAGTTCTTCTTCTTCACTTGCCGCTTGATCGGTCCGTCGGAAAATAGAGTCCCACAGCTTTTTAATGTGTTGTGGCTTTTTAATGTGTTGCGGTATTTGCTTTTGTGTTCTGGCGTTTGTATTTGTTGCGGCGTTTGCATTAAAGTACAGTCCCGCGGTCATTTCCGTTGTGGCTTTTTTTGTGTGTTGTGGCTTTTTGTTGTGTTGTCGCATTTGTATTTGTTGCGACGTTTGCGTTTGTTGTGACCCCTCTCGGCTTCCGTACAAACATGTACTTGCAGTAGTTTCACTCACACGCTTAACACAACCCCTGAAGATTTAGGCTGAGTTCTTCTGTCAAACTGAAAACACTGTGCTCCACTGTGTTTTTAAACACCATACACCTTCACTAGAATCATTTGGATAATTTCAGTGCTGGGATTGCCAATCTCTACTGAACAAAAGGTGAAAGAAGCTAAGAAGTTAACTTGTAAACTACTGCTTCATGATATTACAAGGTGGAACAGAGCATTTTGAGCTCTGGAGGTGTAGATAGATTAATAATAAAGGAAAACTCAAACATGTGTGAACTCCAGGTCTGTTTTTGAGGAGGTAACAACATAATAACATGACTTAAATCTCACAAGAGTCAGTTTTGTGTAATAACTGTAGCTGTCAGTTCTGTGGGGGGGTACATTAGGGGGGGTTCTATAGGGGTACGACTGGCATCAGCCCCTGAATTAGGTCATAATGGAGATTTGAGCTTCATGGGCCTTTGTTGTCTGGCCCTGTCTCAACAAAGAACTCACAGCTTACATAAGAGTCATATCCAAATCACAATAGCGCCGTTACGATACATTTAAAACTCAATTATAACGCTGAAGAACTGACACGATTCTGATTACGATACCACCCTGAAGATAAAAATACTCCTTTTTGAGTAAAATATCTGCACTTTCTTTATCTTAGCATGAGGTCTTTATATTTGTTCTTAAGAAGCTCAAAATGACACTAAAAACAGTTTGGGAAAGCTCAGATTTTGTCCTGTAATGGTGATTTATTTATTTATTTATTGTATCATGTATCAATTCTTGCTTTATTATTATTTATTAGTTTTAATATTGATTTGTATCTGATATTCTGACAACACTAAAATACAACGCAAAAACTGCAACAGATTTTTTTATATTTAACTTTTATTTAAAGGTGCATTGCGTAACTTTTCTGGTAGAGGGTCCTGTCACCTACTTGTTTCTATAGATATGTCGTTTCTCTGCTTGAAATGTTCCACAGTATGACATTAAACAGCTTCACCTCATTTTTTTCCAATTGCAGGTGGTTTTATAGCATTACAAAAACAGGGATTCTGACTGTGAGCGGGGTCGCCTCTCTACAGATGTGACCAGTAACTTGGTGTGGAAGATAGAATATTGTTTCACAGTATGGTATTAAACCTTTCTATCTTCATGGAGACCAAACCAGACCAAGTTACAGGTCAGATCTGTGGAGAAGCAACCCCACTTACAGTCAGAATCCATGTTTTTCTAAGTATTTTTGAGCTACAAATTGAGCTGTAATTGAATAAATATAAGGTCGATCTGTTTAATGTCATACTGTGGAACATTCTAGACAAAGAAATAACATGTCCATGGAGAAAAGCATTTGACGGACAAGTCCAGAAAAGTCGCACAATGCACCTTTAACAAATTCCCAGTGAGAATAGTTTGAGACATCACCGCACATGTGGTTGGCTAAAACTCATAATGTGCCATATGTGCACATCTGGACCTCTGCACACTGACCTGGACCTGTCCTGAACTACAGTCTATTTTTAACCAGGGTTTATCCACCAGGGAAGTGCGAGGATTAAAGGTGCTCTGTCTGATTTTTACTGTTTTTAAACATGGAAAACAGAAAGAGTTCATTTTACTTACTTCGCCCTCACTTACCTTATGCATTCTGTGTACTTTTTAGTGCTTTTCACAATTTCCCAGAACAGAGTCACAGTAAAGCTATCAACAACTAGCATGCTAATGTTGACTTCCTGATTCTGAGATGATAAAATGTTTGATTATCAGACAGTAAAATGTTTTATAATGATGCAGACAACACACAGTGGACGTATTTTGACCTCAGAAGCAGTTTATACAATATATCTACTGGTATATTTTAAATGACAATCTTTTCTCAAATACATGGGAAAAAAAAACAGCTTCAGGCCCCACATAAAATCCATTCATCGCTATTGTCATATACATAATGGTCTGGACAGCAGTAGTA